TCCCGTATTGATGTTTGACACGGAATCCCACATTGATCCACAACAGGCTCATTATCAACAAGGGCTCAGAGTGAACATCTTCCACAATGCGGAACCAGCCAACATCACGGATCCACACTGCGACTATGCGAAGTACATGGCTTACATCATCGTACACTTGCTGTACAAGAATTGGCCATCGTATTCCAAATGGCTTGAAATACCGGTACAAGCAGCTCAAGAAGCATTCAATCGAGGACAACGCCACGATTCCTTAGGAAAGTGGGGAAGTCTCAGAAGTGGATCCAAGAACTGGAGTACCTCGTGAACTCAGTGATGAAGAAGTTCTCCAACATGGCATAGGTCGCGGAGAGCACGATGATCCAACAGGTGATCATGCACTTGGTCGTTACCGGACGAATCAAACCCTTTCCACTTTTGTTCGCGGAGCCATACAACTTGGTTATCAACGGCAACATTTCTTGGTCGACAATCACGTCCGTGAAGGGACCGAGGTGGATACGGGCATGGTGCACTCCAGCTGCGCTGCACTGTTGTGTAAACTCGTGGCCAAGATCACTGGATATCGACAGTTCAGTATGCTCTCCCCGCGCAGCCGCCATTCTCCCAGCTACATCTTCAACATCGACCCATTTGGCATCTGACAATTGTAGGGACCGAAAGATTGCACTCTACAACTCATCACGATGATGGTTGACCTGTGTATTCCTATCCAGCACAAGTATACGACCAGGCTGACGAAAGCTCGCCATCGAGGACCAGACAGCGTTTATCAAGCCAATGCTTTGCAACATCTCCCTGGAGGCAGTTCGCTACCACCTGGAAGAACACGCATTCTCAACACGCCCCTGACAGCAGAAGAGGAGGCTGAGATTGCACCCAAGGCGAAGGCGAAAGCTTCGAGCAGAGCGCCCGCTTCTGATCCCCAAGAGCGCAAACGTCGCAACCAGGAGACGTACCGACAACGATTTCAATCTTCCTCCTGGGAAGAACATCGTGGTGAATGACGTTGGGGCCGGGACAGACGCAATTGGTGACTGTCTACCAGTACCTTGTCATCATCGAAGTGTACATGAACGGATGTGGACATGATTCCAATGCACTACTTTTCGTGCATATGCTTTCTTCGAGTTGTCTTTTCCTTCACTTAGGCCAAAGCTAGGGATCGCACTCGACGCTCATATGTCTCACATCCACATAATTAAGGCTGATGCTACGCACTGATTCCACATGCGCCGTTGAGCTTATATCCTGCGTCTCTCTTCCTGGGTGAGTCAAGCCGAAGGCATCACTCATGGGGGGTGTGAAGAGACATCGAAGCATTGTCCAATTTCAGTGTGAGCTATGATGACACATGTAGACACATGTAGACACAGACTCAGGATGGCTCAGCCGACTGAGTAAGACTGATGCTTGTGAGAACATAGTTCAACAAGTGGATGTCTATGAAGCTCAAGATATTGGTGCATGGCTCAAGAAACTTGGCTCAA